AATTATTGCACCAAAATCGACATTAACAAGGAACATGTATCCCTTCATATATCTAACGGCTAGTATAGTGTCCAAAGTTCAATTGAACCCAAGTCGTTACTATAACTGATATTTATTCATGTATAAACAGCTTAATGTAATCGGACACTGTGTTTTCAATATTATATTAACCTTTCTTATGAATAATCTAATTGTTTTGGCCGATCTAAAATTACAAGTACAAATGTTGCTGCAATGCAGCAATTGAGAAGCTCCGCGCTCATTACGTTTACCTTACCAAATCATTCCTGCGCACAGGTCATTTTCTATTTAGATTAAGTGTTATTATACATTATTACGGATGTTTTGCAAATCATTTAAATTTGCATAATTATCCTTATCGTGTACTAGAGATTATAATATTAAATGTATTTTCTTTGGAACATACGAAACAGTTCTGTTTTTTTATTATTATAATTGTAACAAAAATGCAAACAGTATTTAAAAATAGTAACAAAAGGGACTAATATAGTAATGTAACATACATGTCAAATTAAAACAAAAAAGGTTTATATTAATTCCTGGAAATTAAGATACAGTAGTTATATTTCAAGTCAAAGATAAATACTGAAAGTAGAACACACACTGGAATGAAAAATTCAGGATATATTTTTTTTTGTAATACGCATTAACGAAAATAGTGGTTAATTAAAAATCATGAATAAATTTGCATAGCATGTTGATATGGTGAAACATTATCAATGGAAGACTGATACCCGAGTTTTAGACACGTATGGGGAAATTCACTAACATCATGTTTATGCGAATCAAAGATATACATGCTACATGTACTTCACATTGATGATAAATAAAGAGCTTTGATAATTAATTTAATGGGAGATTAATCTACTATTTTGTTGAATTGCTTCAAAATCGTCGTCCTATCAATAAACCCATAGAACCTTATGTAAAAACTGCAGACGAAAGTTTATGTTGCTAAAATTTACAGTATTCGTCATATCCGCATTCCACTCAAGCTACAATAAAACTTCGACGCACATTGATGCTTTGTATCAATGCTTTTCTTGTTTATTACAATAATTCAAAAAAAGGGCACGATAAAGTTACGGTTCTTGTGCACTGCATACCTACTCAATGAGATCTATCTATCTGCAACGTTTCATGTTGATAACTCTTATAGTTTTAGAGTTATGTCCTGGACAAAGTTCAAAGTGTAAAAATAAACAAAGGGCAATAATTCAAAAATTAGGCATTGCAGAGTTACGGTTCTTGTGCACTGCACACCTACTCAATGAGATCTATCTATCTGCAAAGTTTCATGTTGATAACACTTTTAGTTTAAGAGTTATGTTCCGGAAAAGTTCAAAAAGTGAAAATAAACAAAGGGCAATAATTCAAGTATTAGTCAATGCAGAGTTACGGTTCTTGTGCACTGCACACATACTCAATGAGATCTATCTATCTGCAAAGTTTCATGTTGATAACACTTTTAGTTTAAAAGTTATGTTCCGGAAAAGTACAAAAAGTGAAAATAAACAATGGGCAATAATTCAAGTATTAGTCAATGCAGAGTTACGGTTCTTGTGCACTGCACACATACTCAATGAGATCTATCTACATACAAAGTTTCATGTTGATACCTCTTGTTGTTTTAAAGTTATGTCCCGGACAAGAAAAGCGGACGGACGGACGAACGGACGGACGGATGGATGTACAAAGAGGCGACTATATGCTCACCCTTCGGGGAGCACAAAAACGTGGGACACATTTTACGTATTGCCCTTTGATTATGTGTTTGTTGTGGTTTAAGGTGACATGGTAGCAACATATAAGCTGCAGTCGATGTAGCTTAAATTAAAGAAAGAGATAGTCTTGATTATTAGTTCAATGTTTTATATGTAAAATTGTTTAAAAAATCCCTCTACTTAGTATCATGTCCGGCCTTTAATAGGGATCTATCAATATATACAGTATATACATACATGATCAAACTTATTACCATAACAACAACATGTATTTTTTTTCAATTTAACAATCGTTTTTTTTTTTTGTTTTTTCTTTTTAATAATTTCATTCACATTTAAATTTTATTTAGTATTGGGTAGAAAGTACTAGTAATATGCCTGGCTACGCGCCCTATTCCTGTATATAAATCATATTACCTTTTCAGTTATATGTTTGGTTTTAAATATTATTTCGACTGTTCGTTGAGTCTATACTATACACATGAATTTCAAACATGTCTGGACTTTTATATTTATAGATAAAACATACAAGCCAAGACATCAATCAATAAAGATATCATGTTTCTGTTTTGCTTAACTACATGTAGTACTTTATAAATATTGTGATTTTAAGTCGATAATTTAACTGTTAAGACTACTGCTTGTTAAAAACCAATGAATGTTTTACACAAATTTATCGCTTCAGTCAATCTAATTTATTCATAGAAATAACACGAGATAACACGTCAATACATATATCATATTTCTGTTTTGCTTCGCTATCAAGGTTGCATGGCCATTCAGATTGAGTGAATAAAACGATTTAGTGTCCAACTTTATTTGTCATCCAATGAAAACGCTGTATTTCTTAAAAATTATGTGCGTTAAATTTCATAGAAGAACAAAAGTCGATACTATATCGAATTCCGTTCATAGTCGTAGCTGTCCTACAAAAATTGGAAACATTCTCCTGTCGCTATCGCTCCCGTCGAAGTTTCTAATTTCTGGAGAACAGCACGGATGAACACTTACATATACTTAATGTTCATATTTATATACAGGTGGTTGTGAAATAATATAAAAATAGTTCAGTTGTATTTTTATTGGCAATGCCTTGATTCTCACATGAATATTTTGATTTTCAAAATCTTCGTTGAAGCATTTTGTTTTTATTTCTTAACGATATTTTCAAGGACATGTAGAGCGTTTTCATGTACATTTATACACCACTTAGAGAACATAACCAACATTCCATTCAGTACATTATTTTCTACAGACATGAATGATATCTGTAGAAAACTTGTCTTCCTGAACAATATATATATACATGTAGAAGGGATCGTAAGATTTAATGCGTTAATAATTTTAAGTTTAAGCCTTATATAAAACATTAAATAGGTAAAAAGGATCAAAGCTTAATTTATACTTGTCAGGTTTATTGTAGGTATTTAATTTTTAAATCAAACATTGAACCATGTTACTGAAACGATTGCTTTGAAAAAAATCACATCAGGCAATCATTAACTAAGCGCATAAATAATTGATAAACATGTCCAATGCAAATTGTGAAATTGTGTTAAGTTAAATAGCAATGTGTTGTTTGTTTGTTTTGGGTTTTACGTCACATCGACATAGTATAGGTCATATCGCGACGTTCCAGCTTTACTGGTGGAGGAAGATTCCGTGCATTATTTCAGGCACGAACGGGTACCTGAGTAGAACCACAACGTTCCGAAAGCTAGCTGGATAGCTTCCTCACATAACAGAATCCAAAGTCCCTGTCGGGATTCGCACCCACAGCGATGAGGGGGCAAGTGGTTTGAAGTCAACGACCTTAACCACTCGGCCACGGACGCCCCTATGTCGATATATAAACAATAGCATAATAAATCAACAATATCAAGTTTGCACCACATGTGAGTGTACCGCAATTGTATACACCATGTATAATTAAATGAACAAACCGTTAAATTATTTGTGAATATTCTACAAGTCTCGAACATGAAACTACGTTTCAGCTATTTTGAAAACGTGAAACTATTGTAATTGAGCCGAGGGTAAAATAAGTTGAAATTCAGTACAAACTTGTTCATGTGTTACTCACTGGATAGTGTCATACTAATATAAAACATCAAGTAAAGACTAGTACTTGTACAAAATATAGGCTTTTAAATTAGCTTTTAATATTCGGTAGAGGAAAAGGATGTCTTTAATGCAAGTGTCAAGTGTTTGCAGCCTATAAGATCTCCCTGTCCACAAGACAAAAGGGATTGTGTATACGCGTTATGATTTCTGTAATTTTAGAAAGGTTGGGTTCGGCACCCTTTTGTTATATATCGCCTGCTACTGTGTTGGTGCCACGTAAATCCGAAAAATCTACAGCGTATGAATTAAACATGTTTAAATAAAAAACGGCGTAAAGAAAGGAGTCTACTCTACACTTAACGAAACTTTTAAGTACTCCGATTTCAAACTTGCAGGAAAACTCCGGTTTTCAAAATATATACCAAATCAATGTTGAAAATGTGTACTGACTCTACTTTCCGACTGCATGAATGATCAATCATCCGAAACGCAAAATGATGATACTATGATTAAAGTTTATACAGTATCGACTTAGACTTGTTATAGTAATTCTAAAACAATATAATAAAAAATTGGTCGGAGTACTTATAAGTTTCGTTAGTTATGAGGTTAACAACTAGACAGATATCATTTTTTTGGTCACAATGCGGAGGTATACATGCTTTCAATTTTCGTCAGGTCTGAATCATTTACTACTCTCACTTTTGTACAGCGTTCACTGGAAATAGGCTCGAAACACCGAAATAAATCAAATTCTGCTCTAAAACAAGGTATATTTAGGCTGTCCTTAACATTTTCTTTGTCCCCCTCCCGGAACCCATGTGATTTTGGATAGGTAGGTAAAAATATTTTTTTCTTTAATCCAAAATAATTTTGTCTTTTTTTTATCTATTTAAAATTATTTGGATTTCAAATTAAACACTTGTACATAAGGGTTTGTGCATAAGCTACAGTCGATATGTTTAACTTTTGAAACCGAAAGTGACCGGAAAAATCGTCATTGAATATCCCAATGGCATATGTTAATAAATAAACAAACGAAGAAACAAAAAAGCAACACAAAAAATAAGACATGTTTTTCAATGAAAATGATGCTGCTGCTTGAACAAGATAAAAATGCAGCGAAAATAAAAATACTGTATTTAATAATATAAAATACATGTTCTAGATATATTGCAATTTATTACTTACGGAAATGTATCTTCTTTAATCCATTCACAGTGTTATGAAACAAGTAGGTGCACAAGGTTCATCTTTAAAATGTCTTCATTCCAAATGTTTAAATATGAATTTCATATTTAATCACAGTAGAACAACAGATGAAAGAAAACTTAAAACAGTAAGTATGAAGCTATTATATTCGCAACAAATGAAAATTCAACAAATCACACCATTGTCTATTTATAGATATTACGTATTCATTACCCTTTATAAAGTTCGATATCCCGAAAACCTCTTATACCTTTTACCTCGTGATGTCGCACTCCATAATCCTGTTTAAAGCTAATATCTGACGTTTTAATAATTACGCTACACTCACAACTAAAACATTCTTCTTTAACGTTCGGAAACGATCAATTAGGTATACGCGAAATTAAGTCACCTGTGAAGTGTGACGTCACATAATGGAATACCCAAGTAGATTTTATTTTTAGTATCGACTGTCGGTTTAAAGTCACGTAGACCGACCAATACACAATAAACCGGTTTTTAGATAAACTTGATTTATATTTGTAGAAAATATTTTAAACTTTTATATTAACGAGTTAGTTACGAGGATATAACACTGGCTGGGTGACATCAAGGGATGTTTCTGCTAAATATGGCAACTAACGAGGTTCATATACTACAACTGTTTTATCGCAATGGCATAATGTTTTCTTTTTTGTAATAGAAATAAATAAATAAATAAATAAATCGTATGCTATATAATGGTTCAGTCAATTTTTTCAAGTTTTTTTTTCGCTGCCGCAAAAGAAAGATATCCATTGTTAGAGGCGGATTATAAACTGTTACCAATATTGATTCAGGATTAAAGGACTTTTTTCAGTGGAAATAATTCATTCAGCGGATGTACCTTTTGATTAAATGAGAGTAAATTTCATTTCATTAGTTAATCTTTGTTTATATTTTTCATTGTATTTATGTATTTTATTTCATTGATTCAATTGTTTTGCTACTGGGAATGTTCGTTACAACTGCCCCAATGGAGCCTCTGTGAAGAAAAGAACTACATTGATATATACAAGCAGAGACATAGATAACAGAGATAGGCAACTTCCTAACCAGTAAAAATATCACGCGTTCCTGCTAAACTTAAAACTTGTAGCAAGTAAAACTTATTAACCAGATATCAAAATCAGGAAAAAAATACATTTTCTGAAAGCTTATGCATCTGTCTATGGCTGCAGGTAAAAATATTTATAGTTCCCATTTAAATAAATAATACATCAATTTTTAAAGAGCACTACCTATTAATTTTTGTTACAAAACTATTCATTTGACAAAAAACAGGCTCAGTGTGTATGTTCTGCTATGTTTTTTTAAGTGAAAGGCATGGAAAGTTACCAATATTTTAACATGCAGCAATAGATAAAAGATTTACCTTTCAAATGGTATATAATATTAAAGGATCAAATGTACATCTATTAAGTTTTATTTGCTACAAAATGCCTATTTTTTTCACTTTTTGATAGGCATGAGTGATATTTCAATGGAATATATAGGAGCTGCTTATCTCTGTTATCTATGTCTCTGATACAAGATGCGAAATATGAATCAATGAAAAAAACTGTACTGCTATATTCAATACAGTTTAGTGTTTGAAATTATTTTTTGTCCAATGAGATGGCAATATTTTTTTAAATTTGAAAGAATTTATTTTAGTAAATGAGCTTTAAACAACCAGTGCTACTAACCAGGTATTGTTTGGTTTAATAACCTGTCAATTACAAACTGATAACACGTTCGATGCACACAGTATATTAATCTTCGGTAGATTTTCGGTAAGTTCCGTGAGATGTACGCTGTACGATGGAATTTCATTTAATTTGTATCTATAAACTAAGTGCACTCAGCGTTATAGCGCAATAGGGTAAAGCACGAGTTTACTAATCTAAGTGCCACACGTGTTTTTAAGTTCGAGACCGCGTTGGTTCATGTTTTTTTCTTATCAATACTTTCAACATTATTGAAGCTATATATGATTATTTTATATTGTTCGTTTTGTTTTATGATGTTTTACTTAATTTTGTTATGTCTATACTCATTTAAATAACATGTTTAAGAAATCATGTTAAAAAATTAAAACGGATTAAAATCAATAAATGTATTTTCAATGCCGTAAAACACACTACAAATATGTTCCTTTAAATATACTGCAAAAATAAAGAACGAGTACTAGTGACAACAGTAAGGATCGAACCACAGACCTCTTAATTATCAGGCATTCTCTTAACCGACTGTGCTATTGTGAGTTAACGATAACCTTCACATTAAGCTGGTGTGACTTTCAATCCATGACTTATATACTCCACATTAATTCTCGTAAACTACACGGACCAAACCGAAGTGGGATGAGTCTTGTAATGCATTCATAATTGACAGGTGAATAAAATCAGACTATAAATCGAATGAACTGATTAACCGACGCTATTCCGGAGGCGGAGCTACAGCGATATTTGTTTTTTGTATTTTCTGATCGCAAGATCAGTTAATACAAAGCTAACAGCCACGGTCTAACACAAAATTTCCTCACAGACCTAACAACGCAAATTGATTCTCACTCAAAACTGCTTAAAAACCAGCAATTTAAAAGAAAGAATAATTTTTAATGTAGGCATTGAACGAATTACAGTGCATTAAAAGTTTAGATAAGTCAATAGAAATATGAGGTTACAATCACAAATTTCGCGGATGAATATCTTTTTGACCCAATGAAAAATGTTTGACTATTTCCATAAAGCTTAATCAATGAAAATGCTATTTTTAGCTATGTCGATTACAGAATACTCCAGAGCGTAGTACACAAATAAATCTGACTGTCGAGTAATGGAATATATTCATGTAGGACTGTTTTGGCAAAAAGATTTTCGCTAAATTATTTTCTTCAGTGTTTAACAACAGGTTTATCGTGAACAAAATACCTCGAAATTAATATAAAGGATTACAAACACGAAATGGAAATTATCAATTTAGAATTACAATATATTTGTTTTTATTCACGCTACATACGTAAATACTTCACTGTGGTGCAGAGGTAGCGCGCTCGTTTAGGGTGTGAGAGGCCCAAGGTTCAAATCCTAGTCGAGGCAAATTTTTTTTGAAGTGTCTTTTTAAGGAAGTAGCCACGATATGCAAGGATAAAGTGTGGCTGTCATAAAAAATGAAAAATGATTTTTTTGATGCAACTCTAGGCATGCAAAATTCCATATGTATCAATCTCAAACTGTTATAGAAAAAAATTTTAAACGCAGTCGCTACGTAAGATGAATTATTGTATATAAAAAAAAACTTATACAGGAAAGATCAGAAAATACCACAGAGCATGCAGCCCTTTGATTGTTTACATTCGTGCGATGCACAAGAGAACAGCTATTAGTTTAGACGCTCGTCTTATAATATCGTGGACATTTTTTCACAAAAATACATAGGATTAAAAAGAAAGTAGACATGAAAACAAACATATTTATTAACTTACCTTTCCTCTCCAGAAAGTCAAACACAAATTATATGTAATAGATGGTGAACAGCTTTTTTTAAATCAGAGTTTTCAATTTGAACATTTTAACTGAAAACATTACTAGTTTCCTAGCATTTTCTTTTCTATGCAATACAGCAGTTAAAACAGTACAGAGATTTATATTTTTTTGAAGTTTTGCATTTTGTTTAAAGTGATTATGCCC